CTAGTATCTTATTAAGGATTTTTGCATCTATATTCATTAAGGAGATTGGTCTGTAGTTCTCCTTTTTGGTTGTATCTTTCTCTGGTTTGGGAATCAGAGTGATACTTGCTTCCAGGAATGAATTTGGAAGTATAGCTTCTCTTTCAATTTCATTGAAAAGTTTGAAGAGTAATGGTAGTAGTTCTTCTCTAAATGTCTTGTAAAATTCAGCAGTGAATCCATCAGGGCCTGGGCTTTTCTTTGTTGGTAAGTTTTTAATTACATTTTCAATTTCACTGATTGTGATTGGGGTGTTTAAAATGTTTTTATCTTCTTCGTTCAACTTTGGTAATTCATAAGTATCTAGAAATCTGTCCATTTCTTCTGTGTTTTCCATTTTATTAGATGAGCTTTCTTTTGAAGAGGTAAATAGCTCTGTAAAAGCCCTCTGCTGTCACTTTTCATCTCCTTAAATGGGTGTAGGCCAGTTGCCATTGTCCCATCTGGATCTAATGACTTGTCCTCATCACATGTTAAGTGACTGCTGAGATACTAGATTCTTGCTTTCTTCTGCCAAACTGTTGCCTCTCTCTCACTCCTGAGCTGACTCGGTGTGGTGAAAGTGGGATCTGACTTTATCAGAATATCCTCCCTGGAAAAAGATTCTTTGCACTTCAGAATTGTAAACTAAAATGAGGTGGAGAGGCCTGGGCCAACTGTCAGATTTTGCAGCTCAGAGTTGAGTTAGGCTGTTCCAGGCAGATTTCACAAGGACCTGACTGGAGAAGAGAGTAGATAGTACAAAGAAAGGATGCCACAGATTTGCCAAAGGCTTTCATCGTCTTTACTTCCCGGAGCTCCATGCCCAGGCCTTCCACCTGCATTCTTTGGAGTTTGTGCCCTGCCCCGGATGTTTTGCACCACCCCACTTTTCACACATGGAGTGTGTCAGGGATGCCTTCCCGTTTTTCTCTTCTCTCCTTAAGAAGTACCCACGTTAGGTCCCTAGACTGGTGAAAGTCACCGGTCCAGAGGGAAATAAATACTCTGCTTCCTGGCCTTGCTTTTCTGATCTGCTATAGGGAAGGCCCGAAGGAGTCCAGCATCATTCTGAGAGTGATTCTAGGACTGTAAGCCTTGACGTTACCCAGGCTTTGTGGTTTCATTTCTTCCTTATGTCTGAGAAAGTATTCTTCCACTCAATGCTAAAAGTTAACTTTATAAATAATACATATGCACATATATGTGTGTTTACTCTTTTGACAAAATGTCACACATTACACATAAAAGGAAATCCCTCTTGGGATCTGTGCCAGTCCTGAGGAGAGGTACTGTGGATGCGCATCCATGGGACATCCTGTACCTGTAGAAGTAAGTGTGTGGTGCTGCGCGTGTACCTGTTTTCAGCATAAAGTTTCCCAAACCATACAAGGGTGCTGTATTTAGCTTTTTTCGCCCTATCTTTGTCTCTTCCGGGACATATTAGCTACCTTTTTCATTTCATTTGCTACAAAGGATCGCACGGCCTGCTTATACCTGATTCATGTTTACTTCATTGTTTTTTTCCCACTTTTTCCCCTTGGAGCCAGCCCTCTGTGAACATGCTGGTGCGCACTTCCTGAACTCCTAACTGTGCTCCTCGGCTGGTCTCAGTGAGGAGGAGATGCTGTGCAAAAGAGCATGGGTCTTTAATTTTTAATACTCTGTGTATTATTTTCTTGGCTTCTAAAATGAGTGTGCCATTTAAAAACAGCTTTGACTTACTTTAAAGAGATTGGGTGCTGGCAAGCCCTTACCCCTCAATTCTATTTTATTAAATTAAATAACTCTTATACCCGAGCCTGGCTCAACTCTCTCCTCTTTCCTCTCCACCCTCACCCCCACAAGGACTACTCTTAGTGCAAGGCATTTTCTTTCCCAGAACTGTAGAAAACCCAAAAGAGCCTCAAAACCTTGGCCATGCTTATCCTGAGGGTGCCACTTCAGTGAAGGTCACACTGCTGCCACGTACTGCAGAGATGTAGCGGATCCTGTGTCCCATGCTTTTTACCCTCACGTCTGTCTGAGGCTTCTTTGGCAGCAGAACAGCTTAGGGGATTCTGGACATGGGAAGGGGAAAACTGGCGATCTTCTGTCTCACACTTACCGTTCTTTACAAAATAATAAATTCTCTTCAAGAACTCAGGGATGCCTCCTTCTACTATTATGGCACATTCTGTTTGGTTTGTTCATAACGGGCATATTAAGTTTCACCTTGTTTTAAAAGTCTCTCCTGGCTCCAAATTCACAACAGTGTCTTGCCAAATTGTGGCTGGACATAGAGCTTTTAAATAGTTGGAAGCACTTGGAACCACAACGGGATCTGAGTATAATACTGAGCTTCAGATACATGACTTTGTCAATGGAAATAATTTATTATTGCCAGAGGTAATGTGAAATTATTAATTTTTCCTTGAAGTATGTTCTTTGTAAATGTTTTCTGGAGATACAGGAATTGAAATTAATGATGTTCTCTCTTTTTGAGAGTTCATTTCATTTCTTGTATTCTTTTGACCTCTGGGAAAAACCTAATCTAGAAAGAATGGAAAAAATAGTACTAAAACCCTATAAATACTTCCAATAAGAGTTAGAGTGTGACAGAAGTACTCTTGTTCCAAGTGTTAAAACTTGGTTTTGGGTTTTTTTGTTTTTGTATTTTTTTGCAATGGGGATGAAAACTAGGACTTTGCACATACTAAGCACATGCTCTCCTGCTGAGTGATAACCCTATCCCTTTTAGTGATTAAGATGCCTTTAACTCATTGGAAACACTTGTCTATTAAAATGCCATGTGCTTTTCATTTAAGCTATGAAAAATATTCTGGTTAATGTAAGTATTGTAAAAGCACAGTTTCCATTTAGAGCAATATATTTTGTAAACCAAACAAGATTCTGTTGTACATTTTTTTCCAACTTCCTAATAGTGGTAGGGATATTTGGATCATCTATCTTTGCAAAGATAGATAACTTGTAGAAAGGAATCTATGTATGGATTTAGCTGAGAGGTAGGTGGTTCAGACTGTGACCATTAAAAACAAAGAAAGGAGGCATCTCTCATATTCCTAATAGTTTTATACCATAGTAAAAACCTGAAAGTAGCTGCAGTTGTAGGTGAATTGGAAGAGTAGTATTTATTTTTTGAGCAGCTGAAGATTTAATAGAGGCTTTGACCTATTTAGTATTATTCATCACCATATTTGTTTATATTTTATCATTTCCATAGTAGTTCAGCTCCTGGACTCGTGGTACTTTCTTTTCAGTTCCTCACCAATTCAAGCTTCCCTTCTTTTTTTTTTTTGGTATCGGGGATTGAACTTGGGTCCTTGTGCTTGCAAGGCAGGCCACCAAACCGCTGAGCTAAATCCCCGGCAAAGCTTCCCTTCTGTTTGCTGTCACTTTCTGAAAGCTCTGGGGATTTTTCTTAGCTCCCGGTGGTGGGGGGGGTGTTCCTTAACTCCATTCTTCCTCTCCCCATTTTTCGTTATACAGCCTTCTTTGTTTAAAGAGTTTGCTGGCTACCTACCTACCTACCTACCAGTGCAGAGTGACACAGTATGAGGGGTAGTAAGGAAAGGCGGGGAAAGGAAAGAATATTACAGGTAAATAAGTTTCCAGGGTCCTTGGAACTTCAAAAAGCATCAGTAGTTTTATGAAATAGGATAGAGGAGTCTCACTTCTTGTGATCACTTTCCTAATTGCTCTCTTGAGAAGATCCTGTGGTATCTGTCCTATTATACTCCATCTGTATTAGGCATGTTAGATTTCTTCACAACTCCTCTCTCCATCTCTGAAATCGACCCAGGGATTCAGTAAGGACTTGATGATAAGTTAAAGTAGAATAACAGAAATACTAGTAAACATTTAGGCTTATCCCCGCCCCCAAAGAAACAGAGTTTAATACATCTGGGGCTGTTTTAAGCTGCCTTCTGCTTTTTAAATTTTTTAGAAAAAGGTGGAATGAATTTCTCCATAGCAAGAGCTTCTAAGAGATGGCAAACTCAATTAAAATTGATTTAACTCCGGGGGAGCTCTCTAGATGATAGTCAACAAATACTAATATGTTAATATCAGTTTCCAACCATAAATCATTTCATTGGCTCTCTTGTCTCCATTCCTAAAAACAGACTGTGGCCAATAATATACTGTCTTTTGAACCAGTAGATGATAAATTTCACTGGCTCCTAATTTCTAGTGTGTAAGCAGAGAATGGTAGAGAAATGGACCCTGCTGTTTCTGTTGGGAATGGTGGCTGGGACAGGTGAGGACTCGCCTTGAATGGGCTGACCTCTTTTCGTGGCTTCTTTTCCCCTCAGAACTCAGTGGGGAATTTAAGGCATGTTCTGTGTCATTCACATTTCTTCTCAGCTTCCTCGTCATTTTGTTGAACTACTGTGCCACTGGATAAATACTACTATCTGATATTTAAAAAAGGAAAAGATAAATACTGACACCAGTTAGTTTGAGAAATTCTAGTGATAGAAGTTGATAACAGGAAAATGTATGTAACTTTGAAGGAGTGCTGTACACTATATTTGAAAAGTGAAGCAATAATTCTTTTCTTTATTAATGTGTATACACTTTCAATTTAGGAATAGAAGGACAGTCTGTTGAAATTTCTAATATTGTGGACATCCGAAATTTATATAACCGTGAGATTGCAATGAGAATTTCTTCTGAAATAAACAGCCAAAATAGATTTTACACTGACCTAAATGGATACCAGGTAATTTTCTTTAAAATAATTAAGTGTTGGTTGTGTTGGTTGTATTGCTGTGTAATTTTTGTATAGGATAATGAATGGCCCAGTTAAATTTTGAATCATTTCACAAGTATGCCTAAAGTGGAAAATTATTTCTAAAATAAAACTGAGTTTTAACAGAAAATTGTGGGTTTTATATTCAATCAGATATCCAAAGTTAGAACAAATATCTGAGAGACCATTTCTCTAGAACATCTATTTGCAGAGATTTATTTCTTCAAAGGGAGATTTCGTGACCACTGTGCATGTTAAAAATCTTGATATTAGCATTTCTCTTTAGGTAGGTTGATTGATCAATCAGTTCAACTATTAGAAAGAAAAAGTAATTAGGGAATGGTGGATATCTTTTTTCCTTACAAGGAATTGTTTTATGCGTACTTCATTTATTCATTATATATTTTTCTTTTTTTTTCTCTCATTGAGTTTATTGGTACATTTTAGGTATACAGTACAGTTACATTCATCATTGGGATCTTGTACCTTTACATGACAGGTCTTGGTCCTCATTTTTTCCCCTTGTCTCTTCCCTCTATATTTTTCAGCGTAGCATGTAATAATGAACTCTTTAAAGTTTTAGAAAATTCTCTCCCCCTCTTCATCAATGTGTATGTATGTGTGTGTACATTTATCTCTGTATATATGTACATTATGTATATACATACATGCATATATATGTACATATGTATACAACAAACATCTTAGAAATGCAGGCAGGCATATATTTAGTCAAAATAAAATACTTTTAAATAGTAAGAAAATCCATATATTTTTTAAGATAGTTCTCTTTAATAGAATTTGATAGAAGTCTTGATTGTTAACCTAATCTGTGTTCTAAGTGTGTGTGGCAACATATCTTTGGAATACGAATATTAAGAACACAAGCATGTTTTTGAAGCGTTAGTATTTTAGAAGTTTCTTGCTATGAATAGAAATAATTTCATAGCATATGCTTTTTACTTTGTCTGATTTTCAGCTGGGATAAGTGGTAAGGGTTGTGATAATTTTCTCTCTTTTATGATTTCCTCCAAAAGTTAAATTTAAACCTTTTCTAAAATACAGAAATTACAACACATATTCTGATTAACATGTTAATTCTCTTACAGTTGTTTGGTTTTCAAATGAAACCTTGACTTTATGATGATTCATTTTCCTTATATACAAAGGAAAATGTTTCCTTAAAAGATCTCATAGAAGCAATTATTTGTATGTGGGTGTGTACATGAATGAGAAAACCCAGTAAAAATGAGTAACTAAAAAATGTGAATTTTCAAGGACCAAACTTGAATAAAAAGTAAAACATTATTTTTAGGTTTATAATCAAATATTTCTTACAATAAGCTGATTCCAAGCTTTGGATAAAACTAGAAATCTAGACTAAGTTTAGAGGTGGGGTGAAAAACAACAGCCCAGTTGTGGTAGTGTTAAGCATCTTTTCTATAAGTTTAATAATATTGTTTAATTGAGGTGGGAAGGTTAGCCTTGGGAAGGAGCAATGGAAAAATTCTGTCAGAGTTCCATAGCCTTCCTTGCCTCTCTCTAGGCTTGGTAGTTGCTGAAAACCTCGTATTTGTTAGTTGCCATTCCTTGGTCTTTCGAATGATCTCTCCAGTTTCCTCCTGTGTTGTCACCTGATTGTCCCTGTGTCTCTGTATATCCCTGTATCCCAATTTCCCTCTCCTTAGAAGCACAGCAGTCACTGGGTAAAGGCTGACCCTCTACGGTCATACCTGTTTCTACAGAGACTGTTTTAAAATAAGAGCGTGATCACTGGGTGTGGGTAGAGATAAATTTAGTGGGGGGAGACCCTGTTCAGCCCAGGACAAGAAGAAATTTGAGAGACCTACTGCAAAGTTGTTGAGAATATTAAGGATCGGCTCCATTAAGTACCCAGGCAGACTATCCTTTCATCAATAGTCACTCAGTATATATTAACTACTACGCTAAGTTTGAGTCTCTGATGGTAAGGTCCTAAGGTTAGATCGAGTTAGTGTGACCCAGCCTGGCTTTGGGGTACTGACAGTCTCTCTCAATAAATAAAGTTTTGTTTCATGCATTCAAATACTAGGATATGAGAAACTGGAATGTAGAACTATCTATATTGAAACTGAACAAGAAGAGTAAACTTTGAATGGTTTTTAAATATAAATATGCATCTGATTATAATATAATAATGTTGGAGGATTTGGTAGAGAAATCTGAGGTATTTATTAAAACTGATTGAAGAAGAATAAGAAGTATTTCTTGAAAGCAGGTAGGAGCTATTGTGCTTAGCATTCATTACAAAAGCAGTGTGTTAGATTGAGATGAGAAATGAATACTTAATACCTTTATAATTTGTTTTATGCAAATATGAGAAGCTAGAAGACTTTTGTTAGGAATTTTTATTCTAAATTTAAATAAAAATGCTTATTTAAAAATCTGGACAAGTTCCTCCTTTCCCACTTAAAAATTGTTTTCTAAGATTCATATAATTTTTCATCATACTGTTTAAAGGAAACAGTTTAATTTTTAAATAAAATATTTTTTTTTTTTTTTTTTTTTTTTTTAAAAAAAAAACTTTTTTTTTTTTTTTTTGCTTGAACAAGAAAGCTGTCTTTCTTTGGAAGGAAACTCAATGCTAATACTAATTTATGAGTAGATATGTAAATATTACAATTTTAAAAGAGAATTGTTTGTTCTTATAGATTCAGCCTAGAATAACAATGAGCAAACTGCCTCTTCAAGCAAACGTCTACCCAATGACCACGACGGCGTATGTCCAGGATGCTGAGCACCGCCTGACACTGCTCTCTGCTCAGTCCTTAGGTGTTTCGAGTTTGCGAAGTGGTATGTGCTGCTGAAATTCGTTTTTGCTCTAGAAGGTCACACTTTTAAGTGTATAATTTTTCTGTGGCCAAATGTATTAATTATCTTCTCTGGTTACAACTTGCCTGTCTTTGCTCCAGCTTTTTTCTTTTGAGAAGTAGACTATTAATTTTGGATTTCATGAGAACAACATAAAGTGATGATTTCTCTCTCAGTTGTCAGGTGAAGGACAGGGGACCTAGACCTCGATGTCACAGGTGTTTGTAATGATGACTTTCTTCTCTCGATAGCCTGTTGTTTGCAGGGATCGCTGTCATTGTTGTGATTTACTGAATGCAGAAACTGAGACTCCAAAAGCTTAGATAACTTGCCTAAGTTTGCAGAGATGTGAAGTTGTAGATCAAACTTAGTTCTTTTCTAAATCATGGTTCATGGTCATTTTTCCCTGCTACCTCTCAAAATAAGACAAGGAGTAGAGATGATAAAGATAGAAAAATAAAGTGATAAAGTCTTAGGAATTTGAAACAGAGAAAGTGATTCAGGATAAAAAAAGAAAATAGACAATAGGCACTGATTAAGTTTTGTTTAATTTTCTATTGAGATACTTTGATCCTTTCTCTGTATAATTTTGGTAACCGTACATGTCATCAATTTCTTACTTTCTGAGAGTTGCCAGAAATAAATGTCTGAAGGAGCCAGGCAAATAATGAGTACAGCACCTTGTGTGTTCTTTGTCACAGCTCACTTTTTACATTAGGTATCACGTGTATTCTGTGCTTCCACACATGGATGGGTAGGGACTGGGGGGTACTTCACATACTGGAGAGCGTGTTCCCCAAGGGCAATTACCAAGAGGAAGCCCATGTTATGGGTGCCTGGGTCCATTTCCTTAACTGGAGGTGAAATTTAAAGCAAGACCTTATGCCTTCTATTTAAGTAATCTTCAGTGAATATCTGTATTAAATAATCTTGGTCAGTTTGTTTGTTTGTTTGCTTCTGTATTAGGTCATATTGAAGTCATTATGGATAGAAGACTCATGCAAGATGATAATCGTGGCCTTGGGCAAGGTGTCCATGATAACAAAATTACCGCTAATTTATTTCGAATACTGCTAGAAAAAAGAAGTGGCCTGGATGTGGTAAGAAAAAATAACTGCCATAGTCTGATGTTGGTTAGTCTTTGTCATACCAAATTTGAAATGATGACCTTTTACTCTTTACATTTATGTTAAAATTTCCAACATACAGGTGTCTTTGTAACACAGCTCACATTCATGGAAGATAACTTTTAATATTGTATAAGATTTGCATTTGGATTTTGTTTTGTTTTACTTGCAGTGCTGTAGATTAAACCCAGGGCCTTTGCACTAAGCTATGCCCCAAGTCCTCTTTTTTTTCCAGACAGGGTCTCACCAAGTTGTCTATTTTGGACTTGAACTTTTTAATCTTCCTGCCTCAGCCTCTCAGAGTGCTGGGATTAGAATTATGCACTGGTCATGTTATTTTTTATTAATACTTATGGAGATAAAAATAATGTCAATGAAACAGTTTGGGTGAAATTTCCTGAAATAATTTTGAAAGAAATTAGAATTAGAAAAATGGGATTCAATTAATTGGGATTAAAAAATAGTTTATTCACATATTTAGATTACTTTGGATTGGTAGAATTTATTTGAAACCTTGGTGGTCTTGTTCCAATGTTAGATTTATCAATTGAAATAGATTTGTCTGTCCTCTTTTTATCAGTTTTTATCCTTCCAAGAAAAAATGTAGCATCCTGTGTTAAACAATCTAACAAAAGCTGTTCTTGACCTGAGCAACCTGCCAGGAGTTACTCAGGTGATGACAAAGTGATCCCAAAGTTCTCTGTAAATTGCTGCTTCAGTACCTCATATGGCCCTGGACTCTTTACTCATTCTCTTTTCTGTATTCACCACATCCAGTCTTCTACTCTTGTTAGCTGGTGACCTCACTTTCCCCTGTGGAGGGAGAGCTGCATTAGACAGAGCTTTCTAGTGTGGATGTCCTTTGCTTCTTTGTTTCTGATACGTAGAGGCCTTGTTGCCCTCCACCTCTCCTTGGTAAGGACCCCTTCACCAACCTCAGGGTCCTTTTACTGCTCTTCCCTTCCATCTCCCCCTCCCTCTCACAGCCAACACTTTCTTAGGAGATCCTTTTAGTTGGCTTTTAAGTGAACCTTGTTCTTGTGTTGAAAATAAAAGTAGAAAATAGTGGGCACTCAGACTCTCTCATTTTCTCGTGTTACTGCCCAGCTAAAGCAGTAGTAGTCATGAGCTGAGTTCATTTCATCACTTCCTCCAGACCCTCAGTTTCTCTCAGTCTGGCCTTACCCTCCATCATTCATTGAAGGCTCTTGCCAGTGACCCTGGATTCCATGGATATTTTTAGTCATTGTCTTCACTTCTCAGCAGCATTTGACACTGACCATCATCACCTCTTAAAACACTGCCTGACCAAGGCTTCCACTCACTCATGCTTACTTGGTTTTCCTCCTGCCTCTTGGATAGTTCTTTATCTCTCTGATAGTTCTTTATGCATCCATTAAATACTGGGGCCCTGATGACTTGGCCCCTTATCGTCTCCTTTCCTCACTCTTAGGTGTTATCTCCAGTCTCTTCTACTCAGGTTTCAGTTATTACTGCTAAAGAGATGGAATCTATAGAATACACATCACTAGCTTGATCTCATCTCTGACCAAACTCTCTTTCTGAGTCCTTCCCGGTGTTTGTCTGAATCCTTCCCAGTATTTTCTTCTGTGATTGTAAGTGTACCTCCAGCTCAGCGTGTCCAAGATCACTTTCATGACCTTTGTTTTCCCCACAAGCCAGGACATCTTCTAGTATTCCCTTTCCCGGACGAGCACTGCCATGCCGCCTGTGCTGAGCAGACACCTAGAAGTAGACACTAGTCTCCCGCCAGCCTCTTTCAAGCTCAGAGTAGCAATCACCAGTGCCTGTCATCACCCAGAAATTTCACATCTAAAATTCTTTACTTCTGTCACCTTGATCTTGTCATGTCCTAAATCTGGCCCATACATGTCCCCCTGCCTTCCTCTTTCTGCCATACTTGTTCTTAACTCAGAAGGCAAAGTATTTTTTTTTAATTCATTAAGTGTATTGGTACATTTTAAGTATACATTATGATGACATTCATCATTGGGAATTTGTACCTTTATGTGCTTTTTTGGTTTTTTAAAAACAAAATCTAGCCTTTTCCCTTTAACTCCTCTGGCATCTTTTCAGTGTCATCAGTACACAAGACAAAATCCTTCCTATGACTCCATTGTGGGTGCCCTACAAGGCCTCCTTGCTTATGGTGGGCATTCTATAAATAAAATACTAGTTGACTGAATGAAATGGAAGCAGTTAATTTAAATCAAAGAGGCTGGGCGTGGTGGCGCACGCCTGTAATCCCAGCACTTGGGAGGCTGAGGTAGGAAGATGGCTGTGAGTTCGAGACCAGTCTGGGCTACATAGTGAGTTCCAGGTCAGTCTCAACTACATAGTGAGACCTTGTCTCAAAAAACTAATTAAAAAAAAAATAAATCAAGTCTTGTAGCATTTAGAATCTTTTAAAGAAAATAATTA